AGGACCCCTGCCTGGGGGTTGAAGCAGAGCTGGTGGAATGGGAAAAACCTCCCCGGCTGGGATGGGGCCTCCTGGGTCCAGCCCCGGGCCTGGGACTGTATGGAGCAGTACGGAGTCCTGGTGGGGCGGGGGGGGGGGGGGGGGGGGGCGGGGCGGGGGGTACAGGTTCTGGAATCACAGGCCCGGGGCCCCCAGTACTCTTCTGCTGGGCAGTTGATGTGTGACCCTGAATAAGTGCCCGAACCTCTCCCAGCCTTGATTTTGTAACTGAGAAGGGGGGTGACAGTAGTCACTTTCTCTTAAGGTCTCTGTGAAGAGTAAGTGAGGCGATGAACGTAAACCGCTTAGTGCAGCGCCTGCTCGCGGAATTGCTGAAAAGACGTGAGCTGTTATTCTTGTGCTGGTGCTGGGCATGGACAGAGGAGCTGTATGTGGTCTGTCCTCAGTGAAGGGCTCTTAAGGGGGAAGAGACGTGCTCAGAACTGTGTTCTAGAGAGGTCCCTGTGCCTGCAGCAGTGTGAGGGGAAGGACGCGGAGAACCCGGGAGGAACGAACGCTGCCAGGATTGCGGCCACGGCTGTCAGGGAAGGAGGGAGGCGAGCCAGAGAGAGGAGGAGGGGAGTGGACAGGAGGGGGACAAGGGCAGGGCAGCTTCTTTGGCTCCATGTTGATGTCGCAAGATTGGAGTGGGGAGGGCGGGATGCTGTGCAGCCAGAGGAAAAGGCCTGGAAGTCAGGAGCCGGTTCCGTTCCGTGAGCGGAGGCGTGTCCTCAGGCAGAGAGCATCTGCTGGGCGTGAGGCTCCCTCCCGGGCAGAGGATAGCTGCTCCTTTCACCTCCGGCTCCACTGGGAATGAAGACAAGACAGGCCCAGAGAGGACAAGGAGAGCATTCCACAGGAGGTGCGGGCTGGAGGCCCTCAGACCCGGAGCTGGTGCGGGGGGCCCGCCCGCTGCCTGCTCAGCCCCAGTGGAGCCCTCCTGACCCGGCAGCCAGGAGGCTGCCCCAGGCTCAGACGGTGCTTCGGCAATGATGGTTTAAGGAGCTCTGTGGGGGGTTCTCACGTGCAGCCCCAGCTGAGAGGTACCCCTGGCACAGAGGACTCAGCCCCAAGAGGGGGAGTGACTTGCTGAGGCCCCACCATGAGCCAAGTTTAGAGCAGGCTCTGGTCCAAAGCCCTCTCCACCTCCCTGCCCCCCTCAGTCCCGACTCTGCCCCTCCCTCAACAAGAGACCCCCCTACCTGCAAGGGGCTGCAGGGCCCCCTCGGGTCCAGTGTGGAGCCCCGGCTCACGCTCTCATCTGTTGCTCTGCCTCTGTGAGCCTCAGCTTCCTCGTTTTTTAATGGGGTTGATTATAGTGGTCCCGCCTGCGTCACAGGATTGAGAGGGAAAAGGAAGACAGACACGCAAACCTATTGAAGAGGACCCGCTTTTAACGCACCAGGCGTGTTTCCCTGAGCTGCCGTGCTGAGTGCATGGTGTGCAGGGGTCACGGCTGGCTGAGCTGACCCGGTGAGAGCCAGGTGACAGACATGCTCGTCCTTCGCCCAGAACTTTGGATCTCAGCCTGGGACCCATCCTCCTTCCGACTGGCCCAGCTCTAGAGCGGAACCCCTTTTCTCAGGGGAACGAGACCCCCCACCCAGCCGCCCGTCCGTAGCAAAAGCAGATGGAACGCACCGCCTTCCCGAGAAGACCCTGCCGCCTGGAGCCCTTTGCCAGGCCATTTCCACCACTGCCAGCGGCCCCCTGGGCACCATGACAGACGCTGCGCACGGAGAGGCACGGTTCACACTTGCCAGCCAGCACCTCTTTTCTGCTTATAGACGGGCCGGCCCCATCCGGCCTCGGGGGCCCGTGTGTCCCGGGGCGCTGCCTCTACCCTTCCCCGACCCCTGGGGAGACGCTTCACTTCGCACTGGTCTCTGCTGCCCCGTGGTGGCCTCTCTCTTCCCTCCAGGTCTTGCTCCACCTGTTTTCTGACCCCCCACCATTTCCTCTGCCCAAAGTCCATGGCCTCTTCTGCTACGATAGCTTTTATTTGTTGAGTGTTTTGTGGAAACCAAGCACCTCCCAGACGCCATCTCCTTCCATTCCTGGAGTCCCAGGAGATCGGTGCCGAGCTCCCACAGGCCAGCTGCTTGCCCAGAGGTGCTGCAAGGGAGGTGGGACCCTGTGCGACTCCGGGCCCTCTCCTCACCCCTCGGCCCGCTGCTCCCACTCCTGGGCCCCGGAGCACTCGGGCCTCCCTCCACTCACCACGTGGACACAGAGTGTGGCTGGAACGGAGGACAGCACTGTATACAGCAGGGGCTCAATCCCTGCAGGCTGATCAGAGGGGAGTGGGAGGAGTGGAGATAGCTCCCCGCCGGGGCTCTAACGAAGGAGCTGGATGGTGAAATCTCCTTTCTCAAGGCTCCCCCTTCCCCACCCACTTTCCCTTAGATTTCTAATAAAAAGTTCTCGGTCTTGACCTTCGAGACCCACTTTGTACTGAGCTCCAAAGGCTCACAGCATGGCTGGGGGTTAGGCAGTGGGGTGGGTGAGAGTGTGAGTGAGCCGGCATGGAGGCCCTTGGCTGACACACACGCCACCCGGCCCATTCCAGTTCAGGTGCAGGTGGGTCTGGGCACACAACCCCCCCATTCCAGTTCAGGTGCAGGTGGGTCTGGGCACACAGCCCCCCCCCCCCCATTCCAGTTCAGGTGCAGGTGGGTCTGGGCACACAGCCCCCCCCCCCCCATTTCAGTTCAGGTGCAGGTGGGTCTGGGGCACACAGCCCTTGAAGTGTCCCCAGCCACTCCCCTCCTGGGGATGATGGAGCAGCGGGCCCTATAATTTGATGGAGGCCAGGCCCTACTTGTGCCCCGACCTTGTAACCCTGGCCGGAGCCCTTGGCCACTCTCAGCCTCCACTTTCATCAGGTGGAGTGGGCACCGGAGAGGATGCTCTGTCCGGAGGAGTCTCTGGGCTGGCCTCCCTGGGCCCCAGCACATGCGGGAAACGGCCTCAGCTCCTAGCCCTGCGGTCTCCTTAGGAGCTTGCCTGGGGCTCAGGAGGTCAGGCCGTGCCCTGAGGAACTGGGTGGGGCCTGAGCCTGGCGCTGGGCTGGACGGTCCAGTGCCCCGGGAGGCCCCGGCCAGGTTCTCCGGAAGCCCCTTCAGAGGCTTTGCTCCAGCTGCTCCTGGGCTCACGGACAGTGGGACATGTGGTCGGGACAGATGTGGGCAGAGTGAGGGGGAGAGAGAGAGAGAGAGGAGAGGGACACCGAGGGATGTGAACAAAGATGCACGGGAAAGCAGGACAGAAAGAGCAGAGCTGGTGCAAGCCACCGCCTCCTCCCAGGGCGCGGTCTGCTGGTTTCTTGCCTGCCTCTCTCTCTCCCCTCCCCTCCCTTCCCTTCCCCTCTCCGTCTCACCCCCTCTCAGTGGAAGAGTCTGGAAGATCAAGTGGGAGGGAGAGCCTTCGTGCTCAAGTGTGAGAACTGGAGGCTGCTGGGAGAAGTGGCTTTGTTACTTTGTTCCTAGATAAAAACCATCTGGCATTGGGTGAGCTGCCTGGAAGTGTCCCTGTTCCCTACTGTTGCTTACATGTGTGCTTATATGCCACGCTCATAGACGAGGCCCTGCACGCATGCAGGCCCCGTGTGCAGAAACATAGTACACACCTGACCGCGTGCACTCTACCGGGTGCTGACCCAGCGCCTGCTCGGCCCTGGCCACTGTCTGGCCTTTCAGCCGTGGTGCCTGCCCTCCTTTGTGCCCCTGGCTGCCCCCATGTGGCTGCCCGGTGATCAGGAGCCCTGTGCCCTCCCCCCAGGCCTGACAGGCATCTGGCCCCTTCCCACCTCACCCCTGCACACCTCTGACCCTTGCGGGGACGGGACCCTGGATGAGTGGGCAGTTGTGTGTGGCTCCTCATGCCCCTCTACCTCCATCCAGAGGAGGCCAGCAGCTGGCTCCTTGGCACCGCCAGCCTCCTGCCTGCCTGGCAGAGCTTCCACCGGAAGCACCCTGTTCGCCAGTTCTCAGCAATGTCATCCCCCACCCTGGGGACAGGAGGGGAACCAGGCGTGTTGGGAGTGTCCTGCCAGTGAGCTAGGCTGCGTGGAGCTGCTCTGCCTCAGCCACTCCTCGGCCCACGGCCCTGAGGCCAGAGCAGGTGGGGAGTGACCGTCCACGTGCCTCCTGTCTTGGAGACCGTGTGTCGTAGCCAGAAGAGAGGCGTGTGCTGGTGTCAGGAGACCTGGGTTCTGTGATGGTGCGACCTGGGTCAGGCCATTTCCTATCTCTGGGGTTCCGGCCTCTCCTGTACACCGAGGAGCTGGGCAGGATGACCTGAGAGGGGCGTTCAGGACCCTCGGAACCTGAGGGTTTGTGGCTGGACCGTGGTACCTGAGGACGCTGGCCTCCTTGCTCTCTGTGCACCGTCGGAGCTCTGCAGGAGAGTCAGACCTTGAGGGAGAGCAGTCCCTGTGCCCCCTCTAGGGAGGGCCTCCTTCCGCCTCAGTCACGGTGGGCACGGCCAGGGGAGGGGACTGGCAAGGGACGCACCCTCGCAAAGAGAGGGTGGTGTTTCTGCGACACCCAGGGCACAGGTGTGAGAGTCACTTTTCCCAGGTGCTATGGGCCCCTCAGACCTTGTCCTGATGGTGGAGACAGGGCTGAGCCGTTGGGAGCAGCCTCAGGGTCAGGAGGAGTGGGATGGGCCTCACCCCTCAATGCCATGGGCCTCACCCCGACTGCTCCTGGCTGACCCTAAGTGGGCCAGGTCTTAAGCTGTCTGTGGTGAAGACATAGGGATGCTGGCCTCTAATGAGAGGCTCTAGAGGTCAGAGGACCATAGCAATGAAAGGCCAGTGCCCAGTGCCCCACAGCCCCGTGATGAGGCGGGGAGCCCTGGGATCACGGGTCTGAGGGTGCGCCTCACTGAAATCCCCGTCTCTCCCTCTCTCCTCCTGCTTCATTTCCCATGGCCTGCTGCTGCTTCCCGATCCCCAGGAGGTGGAGGTGAGTACTGCCTGGGCCCAGTTGCATATTTGCACCCTCACCCTGACTTCCCTGTAGCATTCAGTGTGGGATTGTCCAGGGGGAGGCGGGGAGAGATGGGGAGAGGATAGGGGTGGAAAAGGAGCTTATGGGAAAAGCTGGAAGGGATTCTGGACATGGGTTTAGGGGAATAGAGGTTTGGGGGAGGCCGCTGGCAGGGCCTGGGTGGACAGGGGTCATCTGAGCAGCCACCAAGTTGGTGAAAAATTTACATGTGCAAGCGGCGTCCCAGCCCTGTCCTCCCTGGCCCTGGAGTTGAACCTCCACTCTGAGATGTGAGTCTTAGCCCTTCCCTTCTCCACCCCCTCTGTCCTTTCCTAGGATGATTACATCAAGAGCTGGGAGGACAGTCAGCAAGGAGATGAAGGTAACATGCCCCTGCCAGGCCAGGGAAGGTGACTGACACCCAGGAAGCCTTGAGGCCAGAGGGCAAGTCCTGACCCTGGGCAGCCAAGGAGCTGAGGGGCTCTGGTTATCATGAGCTGCTGGAGGCAGGGACTTGCGGGCTCAGAAGCGAGGCTGGGGGCCCCCGGGATCTCCGGCACTGACTCCCAGCTGACCTGAGTTCCGACCGTGTGCCTGCAGCCCTGGACACCACCAAGGACCCCTGCCAGAAGGTGAAGTGCAGCCGCCACAAGGTGTGCATCGCCCAGGGTTTCCAGCGGGCCATGTGCATCAGCCGCAAGAAGCTGGAGCACAGGTGAGCGGTCTGGGGAGGCGGACCCCTGGAGAGGGTTTGCTTCAGGAGCGAGGGCTTGACTCACCCTCTCCCGTGCATTAGTTACCTGTTGCCGGGAAACAAAGGACCTCAAAACGTAGTGTCTTAAAATAACAAATATGTGTTAGCTCACATTTTATGAGGCTCAGAATCTGGTTCTGTCAGATGGTTCTGGCTCAGGGTCTCTCACGAGGTTACAGCCAAGATGCTGACAGGGCTGTATCATCCGAAGGCTGGACTGGGGCTGGAGGATTCACCCCCAAGCTCCCGACACAGCTGTTGGCCAGAGGCCTTTGTTCCTAGTCACGTGGGCCTGTCCGTAGGGATTCTTGAATGTCCTCACACCATGGCATCTGGCTTCCCCTAAGGCAGTGGTCAGCAAACTTATTAGTCAACAGAGCCAAATATCAACAGTACAACGATTGAAATTTCTTTTGAGAGCCAAATTTTTTAAATTTAAACTATATAGGTAGGTACATTGTTATTAACTTAAGTAGGGTACTCCTAAGCTGGCCTTTGCTAAAAACGTCCTCAATCTGAGGGGTCGACCTCAGTGAACGTACCTCCACTTCTTCTAACGCCACTTCTTCAAAATAGACTCGCCCAGGTCGAAAACCGACTTCTGTGCATGGGCCACGAAGTTTCAATCGCACTGTACGTGTGCGCCCGCATGTGGTATTTTGTGGAAGAGCCACACTCAAGGGGCCAAAGAGCTGCATGTGGCTCTCGAGCCATGGTTTGCCGACCACTGCCCTAAGGTGAGCCACCTGGGGCAGAGAGTGAGCAAGGAGGAAGCCACATCGTTTATGACCCAGTCTCCGAAATCACGCGTTACTTCTGCCACTTCCATGTGTTAGGAGCAAGTCAGAAGTACTGCCACTCTCCAGAGGTAGAGAATTCAGCTCCATCTTTTGAAGGGAGGAGTGTTAGAGAATTTGTGGACAGATTGAAGGCCACCACACCGAGAGATCGGTCACCAGACCTGTGGACCCTGGGAAAGCCCTGGCCCCTCTCTGGGCCTGGGCGTCCGCATCTGTGAGACAAATAGGTTGGCCTGGATCACCTGAGGTTCCTTCCAGCTCTGACCTGCAATGACTTCATGAGAAGGTCAAGGTCGTAGCTTCTGAGGCTCGAGGAGGGGGAGGGGTGTTAGAGGCCTTAACTGTGGCCCAAGGACAAGGCCCTTCCTGGTGCCAAGACGCCTAGTGAAGGTCCCAGTTCCCTCCCTCTTTTTCTTCATCATAGAATCAGAGACCAGAGACTTGGGGTTAGCTTTAACTGCCCGCAGGGGCCGGTAGGCAGTGTGACCTGTGAAGAGAGCCCAGTGATGGGCCACTCCAGCGAGCCCAGGCCCTGTGGAAGGGGCGTGACTGACGAGGGCTGTGTGGGAACTTTGGACCAGGACTGTCACACTTTGCAGAATGCCCAGTGGTGAAAGGCCAGGGATGCAGCCTTTTATGTGAACTCTTCTATTTTGTATATAATTCAATTAAAAACACAAACTCTGATGGCCAAATAAAATGAGTCTGCAAGGCAGATATGGCCTGCGGCCCATCAGTGTGCAACCTCTGATTTGGTCTGACCTCTTAAGCGAAGTGTTGACCCCCTTTTATGTCTTACAGCAGGGCCTGGAATTGCTGCCCCAAGGCCCTGCTGACTCAGTAACCCCAGCAAAGGGGAGGGGAGTCTATGCCATGTGAGCGGGAGGGTCTGGCTGGAGGTGACGGGGTGGGTGGCGCAGGCAGGGGCACGGCTGTGTCTACTCTGGATTGCCGGGACCAGCTTCTTGTTGGGACCCGTCTTCTGAGCCCTCTCTCTCCCTGGCCCTCTCTCATTTTCACCTCTATCCCATGCCTTCCCCACCCCTCTCCTCCTGTAGGATCAAGCAGCCTGCCCTGAAACTCCACGCAAACAAAGATACTGCCTGCAAGCCCTGCCACATGGCCCAGCTGGCCTCCGTCTGCGGCTCTGACGGCCACACTTACAGCTCCGTGGTGAGGAACTCTCGCCCACGGGGATGGGGGTGGGATGCACTTGAGGCCACAGGGAGTCGAACAGCCATCAGGGCCTCCTGAGGGACTCCCAGGGCTGATGGGGGTCCTGCATTCACTGTAGCCAATCAGAGCAGGAGCACCTGAGCCCTGGGCTGGGGCTGCCGAGGGTCTGCACCAGACCGTGCCCCAGGTCTCAGGCAGGTGCAGGCAGGGGGTGGGGCTTGGAAGAGGCAGGTGGGCAGGCGACAGGAGTTAGAGCAGTGGTTCTCAACCTTCCTAATGCCGCGACCCTTTAATACAGTTCCTCATGTTGTGGTGACCCCCAACCATAAAATTATTTTCGTTGCTACTTCATAACTGTAATTTTGCTCCTGTTATGAATCGCAATGTAAATATCTGCTATGCAGGATGTATTTTCATTGTTACAAATTGAACATAATTAAAGCATAGTGATTAATCACAAAAACAATATTTAATTATATATGTGTTTTCTGATGGTCTTAGGCGACCCCTGTGAAAGGGTCGTTCGACCCCCAAAGGGGTTGCGTCCCCCAGGTTGAGAACCGCTGGGTTAGAGTAAAGGAGGGAAGGGCCTCCTGACAGTCCCAAGGGCTGTGGGAGGAAGGAGCCTGTGGTCCAGTGACTGGGGGAGAAGGGCGAGCTCTCCACCAGCAGGTTCCCCGTGGGGGATGGGGCTCACCAGCGAGCCTGGGCATCCTGGGCAGAGGAATTACCCTTCCAGGAGGTGACGAGGATTAAATGATACAATATCTGTGAAAGCATTTTATAAACGTTAAAAGGCCATGGAAGTACGGTGCTAACTGTGAGTGCTTCTAGCAGCCACGAGGAGTTGGGAGTTTGGAGGACGCTGACGGTTGGCTTGGGCTGGGATCTAGGGCTTAAGACGCCTTTGGGGGAGATGTGCAGATTTAAGAACCGGTCCGCCCGCCCTGGGGGTGATGAGTGAAGTAGGGTGGGGATGAAGTCACCCTTTAAGGGAGGGAGGGGAGAGAATAAAGCTGGAGCCTGAGGCCAGGAGCTGCACGGAGGAGGCAGGGGAGACCAAGGAGACAGGGGCTGACAGAGGGCGCGGGAGTAGGAGAGGGCTATGGTCTGAGGCCAGGGTGCTGCCCTGTGGGAGGTAGAGGCACCAGGAGGTCTGGCTTCCATCCCAGGCCCTGGGCCTCTCTGAGCTCCCATGTTCTCTGCTGAGCACGAGAAACACAGTTCTCTCCCAGAGCTGAAGGGACCACGCGAGATAATGCTGGAGACAGCGCTCCGCCCGCCTCGCATTAGGCAGACACCACCAGGGGAAAGCTTTAAGGGCAAGGAGTGGGCGCGTCCCTCAGCAGCTGGCGTTGGCTAACAGCTGCAGCCCAGTGGTTTCAGTGAAAGCACAAGAATTAGCAGATGTTCGATAGCTGCAGCTGTTTGTTGTCAAGAGAGCTGAGCAAAGCCCATGGAGGTGGCCGTGGGAAGGCCATTGAGGGAGGGGCCAGCAGCCAGTGACCCGGGGACCAAGGGACTGGGGTGAGTGGGAGGAGAGGCTGTGAGAGCAAAGAGAGGGTGAGCAAAAGCTAAACAGGGCAGGTGGGTGGCTGGGGGTGAGAGGATGAGGACATGGGTGTCCTGGGAAAGAGAAAGGTGCAGAGAGGGCAGTTTGGTGCAGAGTGGGGCTCTTGGGCGCCTTCCATTGCTAAGCCCCTTCCTGGGCCTGCTGCCCCTGCACTGTGCGCCCATGGCCACCAGAGGGATCAGGTGGGCTGTTCATGGGCGCTGTCCTGTCAGTCATGGGGAAGGCAGATGTGGCTGCCAAGTAGATGCCCCCAGCTGCAGGGCACCCTGGGGTGAGGCCCCATCGCCCACTGACCTTCGGCCTTGTGCAGTGTAAGCTGGAGCAGCAGGCCTGCCTGAGCAGCAAGCAGCTGGCCGTGAGATGTGAGGGCCCCTGCCCCTGCCCCACGGAGCAGGCCACCGGCTCCACCACGGATGGCAAAGCAGGTAATGCGGAGTGCCAGCCACAGCCAGGGTGGGCGGGCCGGGTCTCCCCGCCAGGGCTCTGGGGTGGTTTGCAGAGCAGCAGGGAGAAGTGGAACAAGCAAGGACAGGCCTGGGGGTGGGCTGGCTGGTTAACAGAGCAGGAGGGCTTGGGCCTCAGCCACAGGGAGCCTGTGCTGTGTGTTTAGTGCTGGGGAGTGAGGGGCAAGAAGAAGGTGGGAGAGGGCGGGGAGGGAGCCTCCAATTTCTAGCTCCCTTCCTACAGCATCCCTGACAGCTGCCCGCCTCCTGGCCTGTAGGGCAGCATCTCAAGTTAAGATCATGCTTCACTCACCTCCCCCCGCCCGCCCCCACTCTGTCCTGCAGAGACCTGCACGGGTCAGGACCTGGCCGACCTGGGGGACCGACTGCGGGACTGGTTCCAGCTCCTGCATGAGAACTCCAAGCAGAACGGCTCAGCCAGCAGCGGAGGCAGCCCGGCCAGTGGTACGGAGCCCGTTGCTCTGCCTGGGAGGAGGGGGAGGTGGGGAGACAGGTGTGCCCTGGGGCCAGCCCGCCTTGTGCTCCCTCCTGCTAGACTCTGAGCCCCTAAAAGAGCCTAAACCTCAAAACAGGGGCAGCAGATTCAGGTTAGCTAAGGAAGAACGTCTTTTTTTTAAAAAAAAAAAAAAAGTTTTTTTTATTGATTTCAGAGAGGAAGGGAGAGGGAGAGAGAGAAACGTCAATGATGAGAGAGAATCATTGATCGACTGCCTTCTGCACACCCCCCACTGGGGACTGAGCCGACAACCCAGGCATGTACCCTGACCGGGGATTGAACCGTGACCTCCTAGTTCATAGGTCAATGCTCAACTACGTAGCAACACTGGCTGGGCAGAAAGAACTTCTTCAAATGGGTAGCTGGCTGGTGTTGCTAAGTGGTTAGAGCACTGGCCTGGGCACTGAAGGGTTGTGGGTTTGATTCCTGGGTAAGGGCATGTACCTGGATTGCAGGTTAGATGCCGGGCCCGGATGGGGTGTGTGCAGGAGGCATCCACTCAATGTGTCCCTCTCACAGCGATGTCCCCCCTCTCCCTCTTCCCTTCCACTGTCTCTAAAAATCAGTGGAAAAAATATCCTTGGGTGAGGATTAACAACAACAACAAAAATTGGTAGGGAGAGCTGAAGTGTAGCCAAGAGCAGGTAAGGAATTATTTTCTCTGAAGGGCTTTCAAACAGGGTTTTGATGGTTTCGGTGCAGTTCTAGGTGGAGGCAGAGGGATGGATCTGGCCTGAACAGAGGGCTGGGGCTGGGAGAGGTGGAGGGATGGAGGGATGGACGGATGATGGATGGATGGATCGGCGGACCTCTTTACCTTGAGCATGTCGGAACCTTGGTCTTCTCCCCAGGCCTGGACAAGGTTCTGGGCGCCAGCTGCAAGGACTCCATCGGCTGGATGTTCTCCAAGCTGGACACCAGCGCCGACCTCTTCCTGGACCAGACGGAGCTGGCCGCCATCAACCTGGACAAGTACGAGGTCTGCATCCGCCCTTTCTTCAACTCCTGCGACACCTACAAGGATGGCCGTGTCTCCACCGCTGAGTGGTGCCTCTGCTTCTGGAGGGAAAGTGAGTATGGCCCTGGCTGGGCCCGGCCCCCAGCCCCCGGCTCAGCCCCCGCCCCAGGCTCTCTGTGGGTTCGGAGGGGCTCTGTCCTGGTCAGCCCACCCGTCCCTGGACTCTCTCAGTGAGGCCAGCACGTAAACTCCCTTCTTGGCAGGCTGCCAGGTGAGTCCTGACGCTTATGCAGTTCGGCGTTCTTAAAGGAAGAGTGTTACCAACTATCCATGTACCATTTCTGGGGACCTGCGGAGGGTCTTGGAAGGGGCGGGAAGGGCCTGAAGCTAAAGCAACTTGGGACTCGGGCTTCTCCATGATTCCACTGTGTGATCCTTAGCCTTGGGGATGTGGCATCAGTTGCTGAACCACAAACACCTGCTAGAGATGATCTAGGCCAAGTGGCAGCTGTCATGGATGAGGAAGCTGAGGTCCCCCGGGGCCAGCTGCCCTGCCCAGCCCCTGGGGAGGCGCTGGTGCCCTGCTGGCGCCCTGGTGCTCGTGGGCTCACAGCAGCACAGCGTCCGGGCCGGGGCCGAGGCTCAGGCTCCGCCCAGGCTCCTCCATGTGCTGACGGGGAACCTGGGCAGGTGACGAACCTTCTGACTAGGGAGGGGAAAGACCCACCTCAGAGACCCTGTGAGGCTGAGCTTGGATCACTCGATTGCCCCTAACTGCCCAGCCTCCCGCTGTCTGCATCGCTGCCCCCTACAGGCCTCTACTCCCCAGGCCTCCGACGCGCATTCTGTCGATTCTGTGCACCAGCCCTGGGCGGGAGCCTGGGAACAGGTCTCATTTCACCCTCAGCCGGGCCTCCCGCTGGAAGGGCTCGGGGTCTTCCCGCGGTCACAGACAAGTTAGATTTGGCTGCCAATGATTTCAGGCTTCCCACTCACATCCCCTCTTGTCTTATGTTCCCCTGGGGCCCATACTCATGGGGAATGTGTGTGTTCACCCCTCTTTTGAATCCTATTAACTCACCCCATGGGTCACCCACACCCTCAGAGAGCCCTTGGCCTCTTGGGGGCCTCAGCCTACCTCACAGCCCTGCAATGGCCTCCCCCCGTTGGAGCCTGGGTATTTGCCTCGTGGTGCCCCTGTGTCAAATTCGGGATGTTAAAGGGATCAGTGCATCCCCCCCCCCCCCCCCCCATGGGGTGGCTCCGGGTCTGACTTGGCTACTTGCACCCTGCAGAGCCCCCTGCCTGGGTTTCTAAGCCTTGGGGAGGGGGCACAGCGCATCCTCCCAGCCCCTGGGGGCAGCCCCTCAGCGCGGTTCTGTCCCTGCAGAGCCCCCCTGCCTGGCGGAGCTGGAGCGCATCCAGATCCAGGAGGCCGCCAAGAAGAAGCCAGGTGAGGCGCTGGGCTGGGCGCAGAGCAGGAGGCAGGGAGGGTGCCCAGTCCCCCTGAGACTGGAGGCTCCAGCTGGGGCGTTAGGGGGAGGCCTGGCCTAGGAAGATAGGAGAGGGACTTCCTTCCCGTTTTCATCCTTGTGTGGGGCGGGGTCTCCCAGCCAGCCCCCAGTGAGTGTGTTTTCAGCACTAATTTTTGCCTCCCGCTAATGGAGCAGGAGGTTGGGATACAAAAGGTTCCCAGCGCCACCCCCCCCCCCCCCCGCCCCCATTTTATTCAGTTCAGCAAAGTGAGTTCAGAACTTGAGTGAGCCCGATCCCCCGCACCCCCTGCCAGTAGACACTGCTCAGCGAGCACTTGGGAGCCAGCCCAGGTCAGAACTGATGGGAGCACAGACTCGGTCCCGGGCCCATAAGGCACACAGGCTCCCCGGGCACAGCCCACGCCAACACGGCACCACCCCCAGCTGTGGCTGGCATGAGGCCTCTCTGGGCCACTGGCTTCAAGGGGAGCCCTGAGGGATGGGAATGAACCAGCCAAGTGCAGAGCTGAGGGCAGGAAGATGCTCAAGGTTTGGGGGACAGAAAGAAAGGTCCCCTGGAGTGTGGTGGCTGAGGGGACAGAAGTCTGAGGGGCAGGACCCGTGGGGCCTCCTAGCTCCTTGAGGGCAGCTTGGCATTGGACTGGGCTGAAGAGACCACCCGTGACAATACTGGACCACACAGCGACCCACCCTGGCCGAGAGCCTGGCCTTCAGGGGAGGGCTTTAGCGCCGCTTCTACCAGGAAGCCACTGAGCCTGCCTGCTGGGCCTTCGGGCAGCCCTCCTGGGTGCCTGGTATTATCTCTGTGTGTCTCGCCCCCAATGGGCAGAGTCCGTCTCTGGGTCCCCAGCGTGGTGGTCTCAGATGTCTGTTGAGTGGACAGAGGAGCAGCAGTTCCGTAGCCTGACAGAATGCGGGGGGGGGGGGGGGGGAGGGGGAAGGGGACGGGTGTCTGTAGGCAGGTCAGGTCAGAGGGGCTGAGAGGAGAAGCATGGGCATTGCCAGCAGGGGCACTCAGGATGGAGGGGCAGCCAGGATGGAGGGGCAGCCAGGATGGAGGGGCAGCCAGGATGGAGGGTAGCGGGGTGGAGGGGCCTCCGGGGTGGAAGTCAGCCTGGCCATCCTACGAGACTTGGGCCACAAGTCAGGGAAGTGGCGAGGCGGACAGCGCCATCGCGGGGCCTGAGCAGGTCATCTAGGGAGGTGGGCTTTCTCGTCTCCAGTCGAGGACCTGGGAGAAACACAGGCATCGGGCTTGTTGGGTGGTCGGTCGGTGCCTGGGCTGCTGGGGTCTGGACCGCGGCCCGGGTCCGAGCTCCAGGGCCACCCCTCTGGGTAGCTCCCCTCGGCCCTGCTCTGACCCTCTGCCCGGCCCTCCAGGAGTCTTCATCCCGAGCTGCGACGAGGACGGCTACTACCGCAAGATGCAGTGCGACCGGAGCGGGGGCGACTGCTGGTGTGTGGACCAGCTGGGCCTGGAGCTGACCGGCACCCGCACGCACGGCAGCCCCGACTGTGGTGAGGCCACAGCCCCGGGGCTCGGACGCCAGAGGCCTGTGGGGGGAGGCGGGGGGGGGGAGGTGGGGGAGGAGGAGGCAGGGGGCCTGACCTGACCTGCTTGTTCACCACAGATGACATCGTGGGCTTCTCAGGGGACTTTGGGAGCGGTGTCGGCTGGGAGGACGAGGAGGAGAAGGAGACGGAGGAAGTGGGTGAGGAGGCCGAGGCTGAGGAGGAGGAGGGCGAGGCGGGCGAGGCCGACGACGGAGGCTACATCTGGTAGACGGCGCGGGCCGCGGCGGGGACAGGCAGACGGGACAGCAGCAGGCGGCCTACGAGCGGATCCGGGAAGTACAGTTGGGAGGACCCTGGCTCCAGCTGGAGGACTGCAAGTGTGAGTGTGCGTGGCACGCGTGTGGCCCAGACGTAAGAGTGCCTGTGAGTGTGTGTGTGCGTGTGCATGTCTGTGTGTGTCTGTGCGTGTGTGCGTGTGTGTGCACGCGCATGTGCTGTGTGTTCATGTGTGTGGTGTGCATGTGCGCGTGCGTGGTGTGTGTGCGTGTGTTCATGTGTGTGGTGTGCATGTGCATGTGTGTGCATGTGTGCGTGCCTGTGCATGTGTGCACGTGTGTGCACGCGCATGTGCGTGTGTGTGGTGTGCATGTGCGTGTGTGGTGTGTGTGTGTGTGTGTGTTCGTGTGTGTGGTGTGCATGTGCATGTGTGTGTGTGCGTGTGGCATGTGCTGACAAACGTGTCCTTGGTCAAACTGCTCCTGGGGACCAAACACCCCTTTGGCCTCCTGGTAGTTATTCTCATTCCATTTGTTGTTGGTTTTAAAATGTACCCGTTCACACACATACCCACTGGAAGGTCAACATTGATGAGATGAGCTGCCCCCCTAGCCACGTCCCCTGGCCGCATCCGGGCCTGCCTGGCACCCTGGTCCTGATTGGCTCCCCTCGGCGGCCAGCCCTGACTCCTCCTGCTCCTGCCTGCCCTCTTCCTCCCCTTGGGGTCAAGCTCTAGCCTGCTGGCACGTCCCCATCAGAGGGGAGGGCGGGCAAGGAGCTGTCTGCTGGCTGGGGGTCTTCCCAGAGCTCAGCCAGTTTGGCTGTGACAGCCCCGCCGGCCTCAGGTGAGATGGGCCGGGACCCCCAGCACAGCAGGCCCCTCCCTGGGCGGGGCTGGGCGGGGCGTGGAGCCGAGGGGGTGGCCGGCAGGGAGAGCAGCCGCTGCAAATCCAGGCAGAGCTCTTAGGGGCACAGGCACCCCAGCCTCTTTCGGTGGCCCCGGGGTGAGGGCCATTCCCTTAGGCCGTGGGTGGTTACCTAGTGAGCTCTGCCTGGCCACGTGGGGGCACCTGCTCCCGTCCCCCTGGCTGGGCCCCCTGGTCCACTCTGGGAGCCTGAGGATCCGGCAGCGGTGAGGAGCCTGGGGTGTCTGCTGCACCCAGCTCCTCCCTGACCCCTCAGTAATGCTCCCCTCCCACAGACCAGTAGGAAGGCTGACCCCGAGGCCCTGCGAGGGGAGCAGTGAAACGGCAACCCTCCTGCCCGAGACCACGGCCTTTTCCCATCTCCCTCAGGGGGCGGCGCTCCTGTGCCTGGGCCATTTCCTGCCCCTCGCCTCGCAGCCCCTGCGGCTTCCTGTGTCCCCTCTGAGGGCCCCCACGGCTGCTCTGGGGGGGGGGCTTCTCCACGCTCTGAATCCAGGGGGGAGGGACGGACCAGCCAGGCACGGAGGCCACGCCTCGCGGTCCCCCAGATCTCTCCACCAGGAGGGAGCCAGGGTGGAGGAGACGGTGCTGTGCTCCCCGCCAGCCTGCCCAGCTCTCCCTGCTGAAGCGAACCCCTACCACCATTGGCGAAGCATTTCTTACCCAGACCGGCCTCTGATGCTGTTCGGTGTGTGGTGAGGGCAGTGTGAGCGTGTATGTGTGAGTGTGCTGTGTGTGTGAGTGTGTGAGTGTGTGTGTGTGTGTGTGACTATATGCTATGTATGCGTGTGTACATGTGTGTGCACGCGTGTGTTTATGTGTGTTTATGTGTGTATGTATGTGTGTGAGTGTGTCTATGTGCTATGTATGCATGTGTGTATGTGTGCATGTGGTGTGTGTGTGTGTGTGTGTGTGTGTGTGTGTGTGTGTGTGCGCACGTGCAGGCACTTTGTGTGAGACGAGGGGCCACCCCTTGGGGCCCGGGCTGTGAGGAGGGGCACCTTGGGTGCTGGGTGGGTGGCAGGCCGGGGGATTGCTCTGCGGCTCCTGCATCCGCTGCGCCCGCTGGACTTGCTGGAAGAAACTCAGCCCGTCTGCCCCTTGCTCCACCCTGGACCCCGCACCTTCCAGTCTTCTCTTGGGGAAATAGTGAGACTCCAGTGAGCCCCACCCACCGCCTCTCACGCTGCAGCACAGTCCTGTCAGGGTGTCGTGTCGTGTGGTCCCGCCGCCCCTCCCTGTCCGCCACCTCCTCCCCTGGCCCCCAGCTCAGCTCAGTGCAGGGAAATGCCTTTCCCCGCAGCCCTCTGCTCTCTGAGCAGCCGCTTCTCACTCGGAGCTACTTGAACTTGTGCTCGCGCTAGGATCGAGGTCTGTCTGTCTCTTCCCTCGGAGGTGTCCCCTGGGGTGGCTGTGGAGGATCTGGGGGCTCTGGGGTGGGAAGGCAGGGAGGAAGGGGTGCCCTTCCCCTCTGTGACCCTCCCCTCTCTCTGGTGGGGGCCTATGCTCTCTGTGTCTCTGGGTCTTCCGGTTGTGCACGTTTTTATGACCTTGTAAATATGTTGTAGAAAGAAAGCAAAAGGCCTTGCCCTGTCTCTGCAGCCCCCACACTGCTCTTCACCCCACTCTCTGAGACCCAGCCCCCCAAAGCTGACAAAGCAGCTTGTTCCCAGGGGCTGCAGGCCTCAGGTGACGTCTCATCGGGCAGCTGCGGTGTCCTGTGAGCAGGGCTGCAGGGGCCTCCCCAGCTCCTTGGATTCACGCCCGGGCCCACGGACACCACCTGGCCCCTCCCGCACCCCTCTCCATCCCCCCCGCTCCCCAGGCCGATGCAGGCAGTGGAATCAGGACTGTGTTGAAAAGATCTCAACCCAAATTTAAAAAGAAGAGTTTCTCGGGCCCTGGAGCTGCCGGAGACCTCCCACGCCATGGGTGCTGGGGGGAGGGGCAAGGCTGAGAGGGTAGGCCGGGGTTGGAGAGAACAAATGTGCCTTGAGGGGCCACTCAGGGCCCACGGGTGGCGTGGCGTGGAGCTCAGGAGGGAGAGGGAGGGAGGGGGTGAGGGCGACGAGAGTGTGATGGGTATCATGTGCGCTCCCTACTGTCCCCTGCGGCTGTGGCCATGTGGGGTCAGTGGTCACCCCCTTTCCTCATGCCAGCCTGTCCAGGTAGAGGGCAGGCCACCCGCTCGGCCTTTCACGAGCTCCATCTGCTTCCAGTTCACCTCTGAGTGGGTGGGTCCCTGGGATCAACATTCCCCAAAGCCTCCCCTCAGCCCTTGGGGAGCGTGAATGGCATCATCGTGAGGCTGGGGCCCGCAGGGGTCACAGGGAAGAGCCACTAGGGGTGCGACAGGGGACGCAGACACCCCGAGGAAGTCCCAAGCGGAGCAAACTGCTTTATAGCCTGAAGCTACTTCAACTGTGTCATGTGCAATAACTGAGCTTAGAGTTAAGAATTGTGTTCAAGTGCTTGGATTTCCGTCTGTATATTTAAGTGCTGAAATCGTATCTCTCAGTAATTTTAGATGTCTTTAAAAAAAATCGGAAAACAAAGTGTTAGACCATGTGTGTGCATTAATGGGTACTCAGCAACCCGTGGGTCACCCCACCCTCCCTCCCCCGTGGCCCCACCTCGCACACCGAGCCCGCCCCCCCGTGGGGACCCCGCCTCGTGTTGTCTTATCTGCCTATTACTCAGCCTAAGGAAACCAGTACACCCCACATGCATAAAGGAAATCAAATGTTATTTTTAAGAAAATGGAAAATAAAAACTTTATAAACACCGCCTTCTGGCAGTACTGTGATTCTTCCCCTCAGTGTCATTTTTCACTAAAATGGCGTTCACAGACGGGGCCCAGAATAGACTGCTGGTCAGCACAGGCCTCTTCTATTCAACTGCACGTGGGGCCTGGGGAGGGCGGGGCTGGGAGGCGGGGACTGACCTACTGAGGGAGGGCCAGGAGCAACTTAGAGATTTTTTTTTATATTATTGCAAATACAGGTATCCTCCCCCCGGCCCCCCATGTATATAGACTTTGAATCATTATTAATTCCAATGGGTTAATTCTGAAAAGAACCATTGGAATGAATAATGATTCAAAGTGTGTATATAGTTTTTGGGACAATATATATATATACATATACACACACAATCTATATTTGTCTATTTGCCAATAAATACATCTCTATCACAAAGTAGAGTTCTAACTCTATGGCCTGCCTTTTCCATTAACCCATTATGAACCTTTTGCTATTAGAGTTATTTGAAGACATGACTTGAATATTTGCATAGTGTTCCACAATATGATGGACTCTAAGGAATTTAACCATTTCTCTGTTTTTGGGCCTTTCTGTTGTTTCCAATTTCTTGACAGTCTCAACTGTAGCCCTAGAACTTACTAACTGTGACCTTGGGCAGGTCACCTGGCTGAGGGGAGGAAAGCCCGCCTCCCAGGGACCACGTGCTTGTAGGAGTGCTTTCGGAACAGCGGGAGCTTGCACAGGTGTACCTGTGCCCCGGCCAGCCTCTAGCTAGGGCAGGCTCTGTCTGGCTGCTAGAATGGGTCCTACGGAGGGAGCTCCTCTTGTGGGCGGGGAAGGGCCCTGCAGGATGGTTTTCTGCCCTTTGGCTTTCTCACGGCCCCTGCAAGGTCACACTTGGAGGCTCAGGAGTGTGCCTGGAAGGAAGTGTGAGGAGTGATGTGTCTTGACAAGGAGCTGCTCCCAGCGCACAGGATGGAGGAGAAAGTGGGTGGACGCAGGGTTGGAGATCCCTGGGAGCTGGCTTACTCTGGGCTTGTGGGAGCCTGTGGTCTTGGAAGTGGAGGAACAGGTGGTAGGTATGGGCCAGTGGAAACATCTTATGCCAGCCTGTGAGGCAGGTGGTATTAATGCCCATTTTGCAGATGAGGATCTTAAGTCTCAGAGAGGTTTGGTCACGTGACCTGGGATATACAGCGAGCAAGGAGCAGAGCCTGGAGTCTGCTTCCTGTCTACCATCTAACACAAAGCAGGTTGCCCTCAGTGCCCAGGGCCTGCTCATATGGCCCCCAGGTGCTCAGAGGAGGAGGGTCACCTGTGTGGGGCAAGTCCAGGAAGGCTTCCTGGAGGAATGGGACTTCAGCTGGGTCCCCTAGGTGGCTAGGAATGATCTAGTGGCCCAATGCTGGCTGTACATTAGGATCATTTGGGGAGTCTGGGCTCCCCAGGCCCCACCTCCAGAGATTCTGATTTCATTGCTTGGGCTGGGGCCCGGGCAGCAGTGTCTCTGCTCCCAGGTGGTGCTAATGTGCAGCCATATGTGTGCCATCAGGCTGAGCAGACAGAAGCAGGGTG